GTAGGCAGATCATTTTTAATGCATTCTAAGAAATAGTCAAATACTAAAACTTAAATAATTTTCCCATTATTGGATATTTAGATCTTTTCTAATTAGCAAAACATATATTTAATTGGATGTTAGTGGTAAATACTGTGGTCAAATATGTTTAGGGAATGTTAGATTAGACAGAGTTCTTTGCTTAAAGCTTTTAATTTTATGTATTTGAAAATCAGAGTTAGAAAGAGAGAGAGATGTTTCAGCTACCGATTCTTTCCCCAGTTGGCCACAATAGCCAGGATAAAACCAGAAGATAGGCCCTTCTTTTGAGTCTCCCACATTGGTACAGGGGCCCCTGACACATCATCTGGGAGATGTACTGGAAGTGGGGCAATCAGAACTCCAGCCAGTATATAGGATGCCAATATTGCAGCGTAGCTTAACGCACTACACCATGATGCTCTTCCCAACAGAATTCTTATTCTAGAAACATTCAGTAATCAGCACTCTGTTAATGGGTATGGGGAAACTATAGCTGAGGGATTTTCATTGTTGAGATATTTGTCATACTTGTCACACAGGCACACACACACACACACACACACAGAGTAGGAACTTTTCCCACCATACAGTTTCTATGGTCTACTCTTTCACTATTGTGCTAAAAACTGTGTCTCAGCAATAACAAATTAGTAACCTATGATGATGATGTTTATCCTCAAAATTTACTGCAACTTGATGCAATTACAAGCAGATAATTAAGTAAAATAAAAGATTTTTTTTTTTGGTGAAGAAAATAAAGTCAAGTTCCACATACACTTTAACATTCCTATTTATAGAATATCCAATCCTTTTCATAAGTTTGCATTTTATTTTTTTTAAAAAATTATTTACTTATTTATTTGAAAGACGGTGTTAGAAATGTGTACACACATATATACACACAAAATCTGAACTTATCGACAGAGAGGGAGAGAGGGAGAGAGAGATTTTCCTTGCATCAGTTCACTCTTCAAATGGCTTCACTCGTCACAGCAAATGGACTACGCCAAACCCATGATCCTGGAACTTTACCTAGGTCTCCAACGCAGATGACAACTTGAGTCTTCTTTCCCAGAGACATTGGCAGTGAGCTGGATGGTAAGCAAAGTAGCCAAGTCTTAAACCAGTGCCCATATGGAATCCAGGTGTCACAGGTGGTGGCTTAGTCCATCCCAGTGGATGAATAGCCTTATTTTCTTGTTCTTTTGATTTACATTTTTAAAGACTTCTTGGATGAAATATGTAATATACTAATGAAAGAATCTGCAGAATTCACAAGAAAATCAAAAGATATCATGAAGAGATTTGAAGAATTATTATTGTTAAAATTATTGTCCATTCTATCTATAGCGAAATACAATGACAGACCTATAAACTTGTATTTTCTAATTTTTTTTCAAAATAGATGGATTTTTTGACTCTGATGAGAGATGAACATCACAATAGATTAAACTGACACATCTGAAGTATCCTATTACCAAATAGAGTTAAGAAATAGTTAAAGTAGGGCCTGGCGCAGTAGCTTGGTGGCTAAAGTCCTTATCCTGCACATGCCGGGATCCCATATAGGCATCGTTTCTAATCCCGAATAGCCCTGGTTCCCATTCAGCTCTCTTCTTGTGGCCGGGGATAGCAATTGAGGGTGAGCCAAAGTCTTGGAACCCTGTTCCCCTCGTAGGAGACTTGGAGAAGCTCTTGACTCCTGTCTTCGGATCGGTTGAGCTCTGGTCATTGCGGCCACTTGGGGAGTGAATCAACAGTGGAAGATCTTTCTCTCTGCCTCTCCTCTTTGTGTATCTGACTTTTCAATAAAAATAAATAAATAAATCGTTAAAGTAAAAATGACAGATGGTGAGACAGTGAGAGCTTTTCCATCATCAGTCACCTCTTATAAGAAAGAGCTATATCAAACATTGCATTTGGTGACATTTAAGATTTATAGCATTTTCTATATTCTATGAGAGTTAAAAAGGCATCCCATATTGATTATTTCATGCTTCAACATAGAACAAACAGCCATCAGAAATGTGAAAAAAAAAAAACAGTAGTAGGTTGTTTCTTCAGGGAAGATGTGTTTCCTCAGTGCACTGCAATTATCGTACCCGATACTGCACAGCAGAAAAATCTGCAGCCCCGCCCTCGGCAGAGTATCATTGCTACCCAAGCTTCTATGGGGAGTCCTGCCAAGGACAAACCGCTTTATCCTGAACAGCACATATTAACAATCTGTGATGAATGTGGTAGAGCAAAATTTTTCTTAACCACCATGAATTCTGAATTTCTACTTTTAATTAATAACTCATTTACATTGACTTTAAATACATTTTCTGTTCAGTGCCTTAGACTCTTTTCCATTGCTCTTGCAAATCAATGGCAGCAGAGTCTAAATGGCTAATTGTTCATGTCGAGTGGAAGGTATTCAATCAAAACGATTACATGAATAAAATGCAAATCCTCACGTGCTTTTTTTTATTATTGTTAAGCACATGTCGATGGAATATCAGATATATGTCACCGAAACATTCATTACAGACTTCTTTTAGGAGAGTAATGCCACAAAGTACATCTGGCCATTACAATTCTGACAATGCATTCAAACTGATTTCTAAATGTAGAACAGTCTTTTATGAGCTTGTTATTCAAACCACTATGTGGCTGCCTTTGGTTTTGTATCCAGAGGTCAACACATGGTGTAACAAAGAATCTTAGCTTCCTAACCAAGCTTCCATTTCCTCGCTGGCAGTCATTTTATTTAAATCACATAGATAAACTTCTCCCCAAACTATGGCTGCATCACATGTTCCAGTGATTTTTTATTTTTCTTTAGGAAAGTCTGTGTAAAATTCCCTGTGAGAGCAACAGGGTGTTAGTCAATATTGTCAGTATGTATACATAAATAACATAATTAATTCTTTGGTGCATGCTACTTCAACACTATGAGAAACTTGCAGTCTGCAACTCTGCTTTCTGGAAAAGCACATTTACATATTAGTATGCATAATATATAAAGTAAACTAGTATAAAGAATTAAAATAATTTATATTGCATTTATGTTCCCAAGTAACTTTATTTTTCTTAGTGCTGTGGGATTTAATCACATTGTATGGAAAAATCAGTAAACGTAAAGTCAGGAATCTGAATTTAATCTCAGTTCTACCAATTAATTCCTTGGCCTCCATGAATCACTAATTTATCTAGGCTCCAAAATATATGTGATACTGTGTGTCTAGATTATGGTGTAACATTATTACCTAGGTTTTTGCTTCATACTTGAAAAAAAAAAAGTATTCTAAATGGAGGCACTGACTCAGCTCAACAAAGTGATAAGATTTATTCCAAAGGTGAGTACACAGACATATGTAGGTCATGTTGAGGGAAAGTGGGTCAAAAAGGGAAAGGATACGATTGTTCCCTTCAGTACTGGGTCTCAGGACGGGGCATCTCATGCCTGGATCGCAGATGCCGGCCACTATGTGCACATGGTGAGCTGTCCCCGGGCCTGCCTGGGCTCTGAGGGCTGCTCCCTTCGGGATGAGTACACCAAGGGGGGAGGTCTCAGTGACTGGGCAGGTCCAGGGCCCAACCATCGCCTTCATTGCACAGTGAATGGAATTGGGGAGGGGCGCGACCTTGTGCCTGGGAGTTTAAACTTCCAGCAGCCTACTGGCTGCTGGTGGGTCTCAGGATGGGGTGTCTCATGCCTGGATCCCAGACGCCAGCTCCCATGTGCTGTCCCCAGGTGGCCAGTGCTCCGCCTGCTGTTCACCTAGCCTGGGAGCTCTGGGGTTTGGTTCTTTGAATCACTGCTTAGGTAGCTCCAGGTTGAACCCACTGTGCTTCTAGGATGTACTTAGGATTGATCTCTGTCACCAAAAAAAGAAAAAGAAAAAGACTGAGAGAGATACTTAACATTAGGCAGAAGGAAGAGTTAATCTGTAATACAGATCTACTGAAAGCCTTGTTTTTTCCCAGAAACTCTGGATCTAGACTGGCATTTCCAAGTAGTAAACAGGAGTCAGCATGGCAGCCTTATGCAAGGAGTGTTGTCATGCTGAAGTGGACTTCACCTGGAGGGTCTTATTTTACCAAAGCAGCTAGCAACCGGTGATGCTGCCCATGAAGGGGCCAAGACAACCCTCAGTGCTGAGGCTGCTAGTTATTCCTTGAGAGGGAATCTGAACACAAGGTATGGGCCACAAGAAGCCTGCACTAGCTGAAAAATCATGGCTGGACGGAAGGCAGAAAAGAGCTTAAGGAGTTGGAAGAAAAGAAAATTAATGCTTATTTAGTATATATTCCAGACACTACTTAAGGCACTTTTTTGGTAATCTCATTGGATTTCGTTAAAGATTTATTTATTTATTTATTTAAAATGCAGAATTTAGAAAGAGAGAGACAGACAGAGAGAGATCTAATTTGCAAGTGCATTCCCCAAATGACTAGAAGGACTGGAGTTGGCCTGATCCTAAGCCAGGAAGCAGGAGCTTCTTCTACATTCCATGCCTGAGGGGCAGAGGTTCAAGGATTTGGGCCATTTCCACCGCTTTCCCAGGCACATGAACAGGGAGCAGAATCCGAAGTGGAACGACCGGGTCTCTAATCAGTACAAGTGAACTGCTACTATAGATGAAAAAAATTAAGTTTCAGAAAAGCAGTGTTGTCATGACAAAATCACGCATCTTGAAGGTAGCTAGGGGAATGTTATTTCATCGCAGGATTCTCCAAAATTAACAAGATCTGATTTTGCTGCAAGGGGGAAGAAACACAAAAGTCTCCAGTGTGATCTTTCCCTTTTATCACAATATAACCATGTATCTTAGCTGATAATTCTGATCCAAAGATCAGTACTGAATATTACATAAATATTTAAGGACCAATCTGTTCAATATTTCTTAAGCAGCTTTGGTTTCTTGTCATGTGATTTTTGTTTATAGTGCAGAGCATGTCTATAAGTACTAAAATATCAATCAGGACAATAGTTTTTTCAGGTTTTAAAACTTTATTTGCATATTAAAAACATTGTGCATTCCAATAATTAAGATCATTTGAACAAAAAAAAAATGGCACTCTGATTAAACTGCATTTGACAGCCTGCAGATCATCTTGGACCCATTGGTTTTTTTCTCTAGATTTCATTGTCCCACCCAGCTTCTTCCTTCACCAACATGCACATTCTTTTCCTTCCCTGCCAAAAAGAAGGGAGATGGGGGAGGCAGGTGTGGCCTTCATTGTATGTAGTTCTCCATTCTTTGATGTGAAATGGGCAGCACAGTCATCTCAACTTGATCCAACCTCTTTGCATCTTACAAAGTTAAACAGCTAAAAGAAGTAAAATAAGGCAATGCTTGTGGAATGTACCGTGCTTATTGGCAGTACACACATCATTACGATTCGCCTGCTTGCTTCTCTTGTTCAATTGTTTCTTTTGAAGGCAGTGGACTTTTCTCTTGCATTTCTGTCTTCTTCAGTTTCGACTTATCAAATTTCTTGATCTCAGCCATATTGGGTTTGTCAGACATGGTTGTAGAGGAAGCCAAGAGAGGAGATCAAGCAGGTGAAGTTGGATCAGCACAGTGGTCACCACCGAGTGCCAATCAGGACAATATGAAACCGTGTTACAAATGAAGATATATACTTTTTGTTTTTAGTAAATCAAACAAAGTCTGATGAAAAAAGAATAAGACAGAGATCTGATTGAAGAACTTGAAGTCCAAAAACCAATTATCATTGCTGTCCAGTTGTTCACAGTTTAATATGGCAGAACAGTTTTATATTTTTATTGAAGTTGTGTCATCCAAAATGAAAAATATTCTTATCAATTAAGTCAAATGAGTTCCAAATTGCAAGCTTCCAATATACGATGGCTTTCATAATATGTCTCTAATAATACAACAGAATGAAAGGGGAAGTATTTCCAAATGAGCATTACAGCAGAAATTCATTACTCATAATAATTATTTCTCTCAAAGCCAGTGTAATTCCAGATAATAAATTATTTCCAAACTACACTTTATTTACGTATTTTTGGAAACTGATCATTTATTATGTTTATAAAGTATTCTTTATAAACAGAGCCTGTTTTTTGAAACAATAAAATAAGGAATATTAGCCTATACCTTCCAAATGACAGATTTTAAAATATATCTTGATCACAAACAAAAATAAAATATTAAAAGCCTCCTTAAATTTTTATTAAGAAGAGGAATAGCCTTAATATTCCATTGACTGGTTAATATGTCATTTGCTATAGCAATTCTATCAACTGTGAAGTAGGATGACACCAATGTAATAGCTAACTTGCAAGTTAATAAAATGCAGAATCTCTTAACTTCATTGCACCAAATAGTGTATCACAATTTAGTAGTAAACATTTATTTTTCAAAGTATGTCAGGTCTAAATAATAGTAATTGGACGGCTCTTGAAATCTAAAGACAGGGGCTACACTGAGCTACTGCTGTGGGCTCTCTGTGTGACTTGTTTGGCCCCTACAGTACCCTTCTTAGTGTCATTTTAAAATTCTCATTACTAAAATGAGGATATGAAATAACTAACAGATGGTTATTGTAGGCAAGAATTTAGGCAATATGAACAGTTAAGTTGTATAAATACTAAATCTCAAACCCTCTGGGATATTGTGAGAGGTGCCCCAAGGGAGGATATCATTTGATAGAAACAATACTACGACTGAGGTTCTTCCTACTCCAACCCTTGCTAATACAATATGTAACCAAAACATTTTGTTGTTCTACTGGATAGGAAAAAGGTTCATTTTAAAAGATAATTTGTGTTTCACTATTTTGAGGGAGATTGACGACTTGACCCAATTCAAAATCTCTTTCTACTATAATTATTTTCCCATGACCTTTGCTGTGTTCTCTTTAACACATTGATTTGTAAGAACTCTTGAATGATTAAGGACATTCATAGAGTGATAAGCTTTTGAAATGCTGTGGTCAGTATGATTTGCCCTTTTATTTTGCATGTAATATTTATGTTATTCAGTTATTTGATTTGTGGTCATTATCTTTTCTTTATGTTACTGTTTTTGCTATCACCATGAAGTTCTCTTCTTTTCTTCAGTTCTTATGAAATGTAGCTTCTATATTTTCTCCAGCACACTCCATTTTTTAGCTCTTAAAAAGTTCTTGAAAACATTTAAACTTTACCTTTTTAAAATTAATGTTGCTGACAATACTAAGTTTTTGACCCAGACTTGAAGGAACATATACTCATTTCTTGCTCACAAATTTATCAAATGATACCTCAACTTTGCAACTGAATTTGCCACTCTTTTGAACAGTTAGACATATCCTTCCTATATGAACTTTCAAGGTCGTTCAAGGTCATGTGTCCAGGAGAAGTGAAATGTTCAGGCACCAAAAAATTAGACATGACTATCTGTGGTAGGTTCATTCATAACAGCTAAATCCTGAGAACAACCCAAATGCCTATAAATAAGAGAGCAGATAAGCAAACTATGTTACACTGGACAATGAAATTATTCAGCAATATAGAGGAATAATTTACTGAAAGATGCAAAATCATGGGTGAATCTTAGACACTATAAGAAGAAAAAATTGGGCACAAAAGAATACATTTTGTATAATTTCACTTATACAAAATACTAGGATGGCTAAAACTACCATATAGCAAGATAAATTAGAGTTATGTTCACAGAAAACAATGAAGTAAGGTAATAACTGGATCTTCTCTTGGTAAATATAGCTAAAACAAAGACCAAATCATACTGCTGCTATTTTAGGTCTCCAAGAGCAGATGACAGCAGCTGAAACTGAAAAAGTCAAATTGAAACCAGTCTTGTAAAAATCACCATATCTTAATTATTCATAGTACTGCATGTTGAGCATACTGTGAAAAAAATCATTTATAGAAACATGCAAAGATTGTAAAGCAGAAAATGAATATTAGCAATAGATTTAACATAAAATATATGAAGGGTGTATATTATATATCAAATAGCAATGTTTTGTACGCTCTATATTATATTTTAAAGCATTGATATTACATATTTAAAGCATACTTATTATATTTATCTTTCTTTTATATGTTTCAATATATATATTCTTACATGAGACATATTGATATCCAATTATGGGTTGAACTGCATTTTCAAAAATACACAGTGAAATTCTGAAATATGTAAATATGATCTTATTTGGAAAGAGAGTTTTTACTTATAGAATTAGGAGGTAAGTAAAAATAAAGTCATGCTTGAGAAGATCAAAACTTTAACTTGACTTTTGCCCTTCAAGAAGAGTAGAGACAACATATACACAGAAAGGACACCAAGCGTTGACATCGAGTGTGGGGATGTAGAAGCTGGAACATTGCAGCGACAAGAACATGAATGCCTAGGGTTGCTGAGCCTACCAGAACCAATGGAACAGTGTGGAGCTTGGTCTTTCCTATCCTTTAGAAAGAGAGATTGGCCCTACCATCACTGTGAACTTAAAATTCTAACATCTGGAACTAGAAAAGCATAAATTGTTCTAACATCTGGAACTGGGAAAGCATAAATTGTACATTTTAATCTAACCAATTTATAGTACCTTGTAACTGAGGAAGCAAATGCAAGTTAAAATTCTGTGTGTGTGTCTACACATGTGTGTGTATATATATATATCTGTTATCAGTAAACATATTATGGATTTATGCATACAAATTCAAATATATCTATAGATATATTAGTAAACAGCACATCATTTTGTAGTTAGTGCAATTGTATATTTATATTATTTACAAACCTATATTGAGCTGTTAATCCCATTCTTGAGTATTAGTCAATATTAATTGCACAGCATGCTGGTGGCTTCCATGTGTACTCCTTTTTGCTTCTTTGGCAGGCCAGGATCACTCTGCCCTACCTGTAGTGTTTTCTGTTGCCATATTCATAACATTTTGTTCATGTAGAAATAATGATTTCTGATATAACTAATCATTATGAAATATTTGGCACACATCAATTATGATTTTGTTCTGATAGATTCTGTGGATTTCATGACATAATGCATAAGATTGTGCTATGAGATCTATTTATTATTTTTGGTACCAAACCACATATTTGATGTCTTTAATTCAGAAAGTCATAATAATTCCTAAATCCTGTTTTAATTAAAACTCACCTGATGTTACACTTATGATCAGTAATTGTTTCTGAATTAGCTTTTGACACAAACTCCCTTCAAAGTTATTTTATAATCAATAGCCATTCCCCAAAATCCTGTCATTTTGCACTGGTGTTATTATTCATGAATTTGCATAGCTTTAATAATTGTTACAGGCCTTGTTGAAGCTCCAATTGGGAATATCTCTCAGTTTTGGGGCAGGCAGATGTCTGAATTCAAAAATGTTCAACAAGTATTAAGAGAAGCCCAATCAACTCTTGATACAGAATGTTAAAACCTCAACATGACAGCACTCCCTGATGTGTAGCATGTTCCTAGCTTGTGTCTCAGAAAAATCTTATATGACACAGAGAAGATTGAAAGACTGGACTTGATACCAGTCTAGAATGTTCCCAAATTATGGAATTAGGAAAATCATTATCTCATTTTACGTTGCTGCCATTCCAAGGTCACTAGCAGGGAGTTGATCATAAGTGAAGCATCCATGACAGGGACCTGTGACATATGTGATACCAGCATTGCAGGTGGAACTTTTACCTGATATGATACAATACTACCTTCCAACTGCAGTTGTTATGAGTAAGAGACATCAAAGGACTGACAAAAAAAAAAAAAAGAGCAGTGCAAGTCTACTTAGCCTAGAACATCAATGGCAGAGAGAAGAGAGCCTACCTCCTGCCTGGGTGAGGACTGAAATTCCTAGGCACACTGTTAGGTCCTTGCATTTACTTTTCATTTATGCTCAGAAAACTCAGGATTCCAATCCCAGGGACATTGACTGACATACCAACTCTTAGTGGCATTGATCAATCATTTTAAATCCTCATTTCATTATAGGTAGTTTCCCAATGAATAGTGATTTTTTTTGTTGGTTTTAATAGCTATTCACTTTTGCTTTGATGGTTGTTAATGCACAACAGTAGCAATTTGAAGTCTGGAGGTTCTGCTACACCTTATCTCTTCAAGCAGTTGAAAGAGCAAGAAGTGTAGACAATATGTTAACACTACATGTAAGTTCTTGATTACCTTCTACCACTATTTCAATGTCACCTCCTCAATTGAGGTGTGTAACGATTTTGGGGGGTGTTGCAGAGAAATCTCTCATACCTAGACTAATGAGTCTTTATGTTCCATCTAATAGTATAATGAGTGATCCTTGATGTCCTATCACATTTGTTCTTTGGTTATCTCATCCTATTAAGTGTGGTATATGAGTGTGTGTGTAAGGTGTGTGTGTGTGTGGTAGGGGAGAGGATTTTAGGAGTAACCTTGTTGGTCTTTTATAGAGGGTGAGGCCCAGACTGAAACTATAAGGACTGGAGATTCCTCCCCCCACTGTCCCCACGGAAGTTTATTGATCTTCTGGTTCTATGACCCAATTGTGGTTCCTAGTTTGTTTACAGATGTCCGTTGGTTCCATGTGGAAGGACCTCGGG